CACTTGGGTTGTTACCGACATCTGGTGAAATTTTCATGTCATTAGCACCTCTAGTAATATATTTACTGAGAAAAATGTTGACGTGTTCAATACTTATTTTTCCCACTGTATGTTTTTTTTGCTACATTCCCAAAAAAACAAGTTATTTTTATACTTTAGGTGCTATTGGTACACATACRACATGGACAGTTTTGATCGTTATTTCCTCTTTGGCTGAAAGTTAAAGAAGGACTAAAGTTTTGTGTTTCATAATAAATAAATGCACAACAACGAGATTGTATTAAGACTGACAAGAGATAATAATCCAAACCAGCTGCTCGATGATGGTTTGTCAATCTGATTTTTCATACTTTAAAATGCTTAAAGTGATTGTTTCGAGCTTTTTATCAGCTGTTTCCACAGACCTGATACAACCCTTATAATCTCATGTCAGTCACAGCTGTGTGTTATAATATCACACAAACTGCAACAAATAATATGATTTCGATTTTACAGACGTCTGTTTACTTGTCTTTTTTCATCACCTCATTTAATTTTATGGTTAAGGATAAACAGGACTTTTAAAAGTTCTTTAAACATTTTGAAGTGATTTAAGTAAGTAAGTTTGGAGTTGTGTGTTGCCTTATTGCCACAAATTCTTTGTATTTCAACTATTTTCCCTAATTTACCTCACTTCATATCACGGTATTTCCACTTTTGTCTWTTTAAACCAGTGGCATCTCAGCTAAAAGCAGCTGCTGAAAGGCTTGCAGCTGTGTTTTTGTTCATGTCTGTAAGTGTTTGTCTCTCTGATTTYGATTTTTACACCGGCAGGCTGAACAACTTTTGGAATCAGTCCAATTTAAGATGACCGCCACAGCTAACGGGCATTAGTCAACACAAAAATAGCAATAACTCAGGTTCACAGATATTAAACTAAACATTTGATGTGGTAATAGCTGAAAGTCTGACGTTGCACGTAATGCTATTTTCAAGTGTGTCATTTAACRTACAAGGATGTTAGTTTAGATTCTTCTATATAACCTTGATGTTTCAGGTCCGTTCTGCTGTAAGGAAACGCTGGCACCGTTGGCAGGACAACCACRCGCTCCGGGTGCGAGTGGCTCGAGCCATGTCCATCCCCACATCGCCGACCCGGATCAGTTTTCACAGCATCAAACAGACCACAGCTGTGTGAGCAAATGAACGAACACTTTAAAACTACTGATGTGCTCCTTGCACMCAAATAAACAGAACTCCTTTATTTTTTCATCAAGTGGACTAMAAAAAGTGTATTTTTTTCAAAGTAAATTGATTTCTTTTCTTTGGGATAATCACGTTACAGAGAGTCTGAGTGTGTTCCTATCACTGCCGTTGTACTGTTTAGTCTTTATTAGTGGAACACGATAGTTTAACAGGATCTGCAGCTCACAGATGCTGGATTCTTAGTAAGAGAGAGGAAGGCAAACAATGAGACTTGAAAAAGAAATGACTCTGACGCATTAGTTTGTTTGCATAAATAGCAGCTTGTTTCATTATGAGTAAAAAATACAGATTGTGTTAACGTCTGTTGAAGGGAGAAGGTTTTTTTTACACATCTTCATAAAGATTCTAAATGAATATTCATTCGAATCATCAAAACCATACATTCCTGTTCTTTGCTTGAAAATGYCAATTTTGCAAAAGAAAAGAAAACAGGAAGGTTGACAAGTAAAAACAAAATTTACTGTGAAATAAGGTTGTAATTCCCTGAGGCCACTGCATTAGTTTCWCTTTAAAGCTTTCATCCAGACAAGTGAATTTTAGACTTTATTCATTATTTTACAAAGTGAAAATGAGTCTTAGTCTTTTTTTTTTGGGGGGGGGGGGGTATGCACATGGTGCATTCAATGATGTGCATGAATTTGGATGTGCATGCACAGCAGAAGCAGATTAAATTCTTAATTTGGCTTATGGAATCCTTGTGGCTTTCTCATAATCAGTGTCACAACTAAGCTGCTGCTTCTAAAGCAGCCRGATGTAACGGGAACCAGTCGCTCCCCTAAAGCCCGGCTCTGGTYGGGTCATCATACTCTCTCAATGTGATCCCAGCACTTATAGCTCACAAGGTTAATCCAAGTGGTTGCAGCCTCGTCTCTGCTGTGGTAGCTGACAATAAATAAATAAAATAACWTTGTTTTTTGCTAAGGAACAAAAAGGGAACCAAACAGATTTATTTTGAAAGGGATTATAAAAATTMCAAAGCCTGTTGTGTGTTCTGGACCTGAATCTTTATGCTGATGTTACTTCATCCCGTTAGTGTTTTGCTTATCGTAGTATGAGCCAACATGTTGGAAAAACATTGGATTTGAGCAAGTATGGGTAACACTTTCTTTTACGGTACACTTATTACCATGTAATTACAAGGGTACAATTTTACTATATTATTAATTGTCTGCAGTAATGTAGCACTTACCTGGTAATGTATTACAATTCACTATGAAACACCTAAATAAGTAGTAGGTAATTTGGTCAGTTTTAAAGTTATATTTTATTGCAATCAACCACTAACCCCAAAATTTAGTTGCATTATTTTGGTTATATAATGTTGAGCTACCATTGAATAGTAATTTGATTGTAGTTACCCAATAAAGGTAGTTTTACTAACAGTAGTTTTTCTTTTGTACCCTAATTACCACGTAATTACATGGTAATAAGATAGTAATTACATTTAAATATTTTTTACCTTGTAATTACATGGTAATAAGGGTACTGTAAAAGAAAACATTACCCAAATATGTTAATTTGTGTGTTTTAACTCAAACAAAASCTTTGGGTCATTCTGCAAGTGAGCTCACAAACCCAGTACAATGTGGTAAATGAACATATTGTCCAAATGAGGTCACTTTTTGAGTGTATATTGTTAAGTGAGAGTTAAATTATTATATTTATTTATTTATGATTTTTTATTAGATTTGAAAATTTTAAAGAGCATACTGAACATTTTATAAAGGTTTTGTGGATGTTGTACAGAACAAAAAATATTTAACCACTGATTGATGTAAGATCCATCCATCCATCCATCCATCCATCCATCCATCCATCCATCCATCCATCCATCATCTGTGGCTTGTTTTGGATTCGGGTCATGGAGGCAGCCGCCTGAGCCTGGAGGACATCTTTCCACAACCACCTGTTCCAGCTCTTCCAGGATTCCATATAAAAACCTAAGAATATATTACAATAAATATGTTCATGTACAAAAAAAATCATGACATCAAACTCACCAAAGAGACAACCCATGTTTACCTACGTACATAAAACATTTTATAGTCAGATTTCTATCGTTGCTGGTGGAGTWTATCAAAACAAAATGCATATTTTAATGTTTTTTAATATACATCTGTTTCTGTACAAAAACTTGTATCAAACGGTTTGATGTCAGACCTGCTTATTTTCAGAAAACAACACATGTTGCCTTACAAACAAAAATAAGTGCATTTTTGTGAAATGTAAGCTATTTCCTCTGTAAATAATACACATAAATATATGTTGTTGATTTCCACTTGTACATGTACACGTTCATATTTCAGAATAAAATGATACTTCAATTTTTTTCCTTTTTGACTTTTTTTTTCAAAATACAGAAATGTCAACAGTAATTAACTGTGATGGCGCATAGAATCCATTATTCCTATTCATCAATGCCAATTTACTTAAATATGCTGTATAATGTTTGAAAGGATGTCTCTAGCTTTACTGTTACTGTGGCTTGTCATTTCCTGACATCCTTATAAATATATAATTATTGTAAATTAGTCATGGAAAAGACGAWGCCCTGAGAGAGTGCCTGTTAGATGCAGTTTCATACGTTTTAGGCTGAGCCAAGGTGAAATGGAGCAGAAACTACAGCCTTTGCCAGAAACCCTYAGGACTCAACTTACACATAAAGAACAAGGACTCCGACATAAACTAATGAAGGCTTGTTGTGTCGGATAAACACTTGATTGTTATCAGCCACATGAAGATGAAATATGAGATAAAATCCATTTTTTATCTTTGCCCCAAATTTATATRTAGAAAAAACATGCATTTCAGCAGCAACGTTTCTGTTTCAGCTAACATTGTTATTTTTTGCAAAGTAGCAGTATGTGCAGCTGTAGCACTTTGAAGCAGGATTTTTGTCACAGTAGCCAATGGCAGTGTAAAAGGGCTGTAAAACCACTTTATCAAATAAATCAAATGAATCAAAATCAAGGATCAAACAAATTGTCATGAAAAATGGGAAATTTAAGGTGTTTAATGACAATTACAATCCATTTGGATTTTGTGAGATCCAATCAGAATTAAAGGTTGTCAGATTCTTCGGACAACCTTTAATTACTTGAAGAAAAGTAAGTCACCTGCCACCTTTTATGCCAGAGATCTTGTTGAGAAATGGGAGCATTGTAGTTATTTTGGTCAAATCTAATAATAATAATAATAATGCTTTGTGAGATCACGTTATGTCACAAGATGTCACATTCAGAGTWTGTGCTGTGAAGGACTCTCAGCTACTAACATCATTTATTTTAGCTCAGTGTCTGTAGAAATGACTGAGGAGTAGGCTTTTTTTTTTACTGAGTAAGCTCAATAAGCTGTTGGATGCCATCTCAAATTAGATTGACTGTAAGTTGTAAGTGCACATGAATTTTTTTTCCTGAAAATTTCAATATAATCTAGTCAAGGRTTCATGAGATATTTCAAACACAATATTTGCTTTAAATAGTTAAYGGCAAAGTTTTAAACRAAATGCTWGTGCAATCCATTACACCTCAATATATATATTTGAAATCCATCTCAGCTACTACCACACTAAATTTTAGGTCAGTATCTGTAAAACTGGCTGCATTATAGCAATGGTCCATAAGCTCTCCACAGACCCTAAATTATTTAAACTGTCMTTTTAAGGCTGTTCAGGCCTGAAAACACTGTATAAACTGTAAGCAGTGTTACTTTAAATGCCAAATTAAAACCACAAAAAGGTCCAACCTTCAACCTTAAAGTGACATGGCGATTTAACGGCATCTTCTCCAGGCCTCCCTGTCAACTTTCTGTGCATCCAACCTGTGTGTGACTGCATGTCAGTACTTATTGGGGCGTATTCCTCGGSTGGTAAAAATGTCGTCTTTTTTCTCAGTGTTGAATCCTGAACCTGTCAACTCTGCGTTTGACAAGTTCAGGCTTCAACACTTTGAGCAGGGCTGCACAACAAAGACTAAGACACATCACGCTGAGGCTTAAAAAGCTGCTTCAGCTGTTGTTGTGGGAGACGTGAGCTCTATATTTGGAGCTTGACTCAGGCTTGAAATAAAGTAAGGATGTTTTTTTTTTTTTTAACTGAGCTACCGGTACTTCACAGATTTTTTTTTGTGTGAGATTTCTATTTATTTCTGTACTGTAAGGATTTAATTTTAGCTTTGGTTACAAATTTGATCTAAAAATTTAAATCCATTCACTTGTTCCTTGGTGATGCATCCAAGTCAAATCTTCATTATCACCAACTGCAAAAAGCAGAGGAGAAATAATGTTTTTTTTTCTGTGTGTGCTTGTGTGTGTGTTTGTCTGTATCTCATGAACCACTGATTGGATTTATAAATAACCGACTTTAAAAAAAAAAACACTAAAATGTATATAACTTAGATAATGCACTAAGTGTGGTAGCTGTTTGTATTTCATTTTATGTGTTTACAATGGCTGAATAACATTGAAAAAAGGGAAGAAAAAATGATTGTTTAAAATATGAAAAGCACAGTGCCACAGCTGGTTAACACTGGAGCCTCCGAGCAAGAATTAAAAACTCAGCTGGAGTCTTTCTGTGAGAAGATATTTTCTTTGTGTCTCCATAAGTTTTTGTCCGACAGTAAAAAAAGAAAGAAAAAAAAGTGCATGCTAGAGTAATCATGTGYGTATGTGTGGGTGTCTCCCTATATTGGCCCTGTGACTGACCAGCAACCTGTCCAGGGCAAATTTCTATTTATCCCTGACAGAAACAACAACAACAAAAATGTTCATAGACTCATTTAAAGGGATGAAAAAGTGTTTATTTATAGGTTTGTTTTTGTTCTTCACATTAAAGCTAATTGTCACAGTTTTCTTCTCATCCTGTGAGTTAAAAGAATCACTCAGTTTATTCTGCAGAGTTGATGTGATTCAACAGTCAGCTCCATCCTGGAGTTCTGATGTGAAATTATTTCTGCACTTATATTATCACAGTTACATTTTTAACCCTGTAGAAGTAAAGTTATAGAAGAAAAGTGTTTGCAGGGTGAGCATCATAAAAACTTACTCCAGGTACCAAATTTTCCTGATAATGACGGTTTTGTTTTTCTGAGTTTACAGGTAAATTTATAGATATGCAGTAATTAGATACCGAGAGATACAATTCATGGCAGATGGTTTGTATGCACTTGAGACGTAACTCTAAATCATTATTTTGAATTTATTCTGGAAGTCAGAATGAACAAASCTCTGAGCAGAAGGCAGATTTGGCCCATAGTCACAAAAACTGACTCAGAGTTTATATCAGCTCTGTTTCTGGCATTGTGTTCCCTCATCTCAGAAGAAAAACTGAGTTTTCAGACAAAAAACACTGGAATGTGTTTTTCTTTTCTTTTTGACTGTTCCCTTCTTCCGGGGTCGCCACATCTATAATGATGCTCACATTATAAAATTAACTATAACAATATTAGATAAAAGTTTTGGATTTTCTTCTGTAATAACGGGGAGTTGTTTTTATGTCACAGTGTGAGGAGAACCCCTCAGATCAGATCAGCAAAATGTTGAGCAACAGCGCTCTCTGCTGGTTAAAAAGAGAAGCACGACTCAGATTCACACACAGAACTTTAGTTTGTTTGCTTTATGAGCACAATTTTGTTATTTATTCCTGAGATAAGATTATATTTTCTGATTTTAATATTTAATAGTGCTTTATTGCTTACATAAAGCAAATGTATGAGTAGAGATGTAAAGTAGCAAATACTTTGTTGCTTTACTTAAGTTAAATGTTTGGTTATCTATATGAGTAATTATCTTTCAACCAACTTTTTATTTCTACTTCTTACATTTCAAGCGATTGTATTTATGCCTTACATTGAAAAAAAGTAGAGAGTCATTACTCCTGTTTCATTTTGCCTTTTTTTTCATTCCAGGTTGTTAGATATCCTAATGTGAAGATGAAATATAGAAATACAGAAATATGTGGCTCAAACACGCAGACTAGTGCATCCAAAGTTTTTCAACATTAACTCTTTAAAATAACATTTTAGTCATTATGGACTTTAGAAAAACATATTTTTGGGGAGGTCACCTCCAAATAAATGCTATTCTTGAAATTCTTACCATTTACTGTACTTTAACCCAGTACTTTTACTTTTAAAACTTAAGTACATTTTATATCGGAGAAATGGTAAGATTGTACTTACACTCACATATCACTGTTTTTTTTTTTTTTTTTGAGGTACTATATACAACACTGAGTAAAAGGAGAAACTGGATTTTCCCACTATAGTGGGATGTTTTTTGTTTTCTGTGTTTTGTTTAATTGATAATAATAAGAAATGTGTCAAATGACTTTAGTGATGTTGAACTTTTTTTTAGCATAACCCATAATTTTGTTTTTAACTCTCACTGAAGCCAAATGTGTCCATGATGGGAGCACAAAAGCATAATTCTTAAAAAAACAGGACACCGTCAAAACAACTGCATTTATTTCCCATGAGATATAAAATGTTGATGGGTGCACAGCATCCGCACCAGAAACCCTAGACAATGTGAAGCATTTATGAGTKACATCTATCCATGAGAAATGAAAATGATTAAAATACAGAAGGGGATTTCCAGGAAAACAAAGATCTTTAAGAACAAAATATTCTTGGTTTTCCAGTGAAGGAGACAAACTCGTTTAGTGTCTTTAATTTTAAAACYATCCTGTGATGCAGCACCAAAATACAGAAGCTGAAACAGATATCATTTTTTAAGTTGCCATGATGTACTTTACAAAAGCTTCATAGTTTATACACCCATTAGCATCCTCTTGGTTTTGCATGAGCTGCTCCACTTCATCCTCTCTCATTTTCTCACCTGAAACCAGCAAAACTGTCAAATCAGAATGCATTTTTAATTCTACAGCTTTCTGACATCAGCTTGCATTAAGACCGTTAAACTCACCCAGAGTTGCTAAAACATGTCTGAGCTCAGCACCCATCACCGTGCCGTTTCCCTCTTTGTCAAACACCCTTAAGCCCTCCACAAAATCTTCAAACGTTCCACGATCTTTGGCCTTGCAAATGTGCTGATGGATTGGTAAGAACTGGTCAAAGTCGAGCATCTTGKACTGCATGTCTGTGGGAAGTAGCAGGGGTTAAATAACAAGGAAAGATGAAAAGGCTGGAGTTTGTGTTGAACTTAATTGTAGTTCAAACAAGTTGTACGTATAACTCCGCTGATCAAATGACCAACCTTCAGGTTTGGGCTTTCCAAGAACGTGCATGATCTCTGCATTGGTAGGATTCTGGCCCAAAGCCCTGATCAAGTCCCCACACTGAGCGTAAGTGATTTTCATCTCATTGGTCGGTGTGCGGTCAAACAGCTGGAAAGCATCTTTGAAGTCTGTGAAAATAATAAAATTAAAATAAAAACTGGCAACTCCCCAATTTTATTTTACTTTAWTTTTTTAAAGAATGTCATTATCATTCAAAAACATGTGCTGATCTGCCTCAAGTAATTATCTGTAACAGCATGCATCGGATAAAAGAAAGACAACAAGGATTCAAACTCCAAACAGCTTCACTCTGCTTTAACATTTTTAGGACACATGGCTGMAATCGATTATTTGAATATATTAAAAAATAGCGTATGTCTGATCTACATTATCATCACCAGCTGTTGCTAAACATTTCTCACACACTGAAGAGATCAGTGTGTGAACAACCACATTTTTCCCCTCTATAAATAGCTCACAGTCCAACGCAACGCCACCGACAAATGAGCCTCACCCTCAAGTTGTTCCGGGGTGAATTCCAGCTGAGAAAAGACAAACAAAGCAAACAAAGCAATTAAGGGGCTGCAGATCACTCAAAGCAGCACAGAAGAAGAATTTTATTTAATATAGCAAATAAAAAAGAAGAAACAAGTTATTATGAATATAATACAGTATCTCATTGTCATACCACATAGATAAAATTTCAAACATAATCTGTTCTCCTGTAGTTATTGGTGACCTTGGGTCTAATGTGCCGTTGGATTTAGTTCACTTCTAGATTTGTATTGGTTTATTTTTAGATGCAAAGATGTCACTTGGATTTAACAAGGTTAAATAGTCAAAATAAAGTTTTCAGAGAGGCATAAGTTCAAATTTACTAAAATATTTCAGCCAGAACATATTTTTTATTCTACACACTTAATAAAAAAAATTCAAGAACAGAGTCTTGCTCTTTTCCTTATTTTTGTGTCTGAGAGTAGATTTATTATAATGTAAATGACAGTCGGCTGCATTTATTTATTTATTTTTTAGAAAAAAGGCTAAAGGCTTTAAACTAGCTAGTGAATTTATTTTACAATCATCTTAATACTCCTGAAGAATGTTTAATTTAAAGTATAAAGCATAACTTTCCACTCTGCAATCACTTTTGACTTTGTTTTAATTTTCATGTATTCCTTGGACTTGAGTCAGATTGGTGCCCCAGGTTCCTGTTTAACGTCTGGATGTCTCCAAACCCCAAACTGAACATGAAACTCTGAGAAAACATTATCCCAAAAAATTATCTAAGCATGTTTAAAGATAGATGGAACAGAGCTGTAATTATCTGTATTTTTCTTYCTTCTAGTTTTTCCACCCATTCCCCCTCACTCTTTAGAAAGGAGAAGCGGGTGGTCTGCCATTCACAGACATAATGAAAATCATATTCGGTGGTTTTGACCATTGTAACATAGTGGCTTGCTCAACCAGAAAAACATTCATCCACTGAGAAGGGGCCAAGTCAGCAGAAACTAAACTTTCCAAGATGTCTGATGCACTAATTACAACTGGCCCTGACAGTTTCACAGCATCCCCTTAGCTGTGTAACACTCCATTCTTGCACCACATGTACTGTAAAGCTCGTTTAATAACCTGCACTGAAGTGTTTGGCTTGTATGGTCCAGTTTAGGTCACATGTTCTGAAAACATGCCTGTTAGCTGTGAACAGTTTTTATAAAATCACCTAATTGATATAAACCAAAGGGGCTAACAAGAACAAATAAAACAATAATTAAATCCAGTTTACTGTGACAGTGATGAGAAGAAGTTACCGTCACTGATGTTGGGTCAAACTCCGGGGTCTTGGGGCGCTCAGGCTCTGGGGGCTTGGGGGCTGCTGGTGCAGCAGGCTTCGGCTCTTCCTTCTTTTTAGGAGCCATTGCAAGGGGCACTCAGAACGGACACGGCAGAGGGATCCCTCGCACTGCAGACAAAGGTGGRCGATTAGAGACCCTTTATCCTCTGACCACAGGTGTCTCCTTCACCTCCCCCCTTTCTACGTCCAACCAGGCTGCCAACAACAGGGAGAGGACTATAAAAGGATATGCCTTTGTGCTTCTATTTAAGACAAACCTTTGTTGTTGTGCCTCTTTGTGTATGTGGGTGTGTGTGTGTGTG